TGCCGCTGTAGAGAACGTTACAGGCTCAACCTTTAACACTGTTGAAATTATCTCAGCATTTCTTTGCGACCCACTAACAAGTCTGTCTTTAAGGAGACTGTGATCACTGCCCAAAAGGCCAGTCTCTTACACTCGAGGAACTTCATATCCCAAAGGATGAAGAAATTGCTCTCACAACATGGGAGTCCGGCGACCTTGTGAAAGAAACATTATATCCTGAAACTTTTTTAAAAGTCGTTCAAATAACGGTTGAAAGTTGGATATTTCACAACCATATCTGACAACCGCAAGAAAAAGCGATCTACGATGAAAAGCAGTATATGCGACGCGGGAGCATTGTCTCACATTTTGACTTTGGTGAAAAATGGACCATCGTGCTTCCTGACAAAGCTCAAGCATACCACTGGAAGAAAAAAAAAGTTGCGATATTTACATGTGTAGTGACGACAAGAAAATCTATAAACAGAAACAAACGACAAGAAAATCCCGCGGTGTGTTTCAGACGTTCTCCTTCTATTCCTTGTCGTCTGTCATTACCTCAGTCTCGGGTTTTTCACTAAAATGTTTAATCTGTAAACTGCTTTGCTATCATCAGTGAGGACCTGTGTGACGACGCCGCTCACACGGGCTTGGCTCTAGAAAAAGTGAAAGAGTGAGTTGAAGGCAACAATGCGGTATACTCTCACGTGACGTACGTAAGTGATGGGGCCGCCAGTCATAGAAAGAATCGCTACCAGCTTTACCAGTTTCCACAGAACGATTGCCCACAAGCCCCGTGGTTATTTTCTGCATCTGGACATGGGAAAATGTATGCACCGGAGTTGGCGGACTCGTGAAGCACCAGGCCACGCCAAACAGCCTGGAAGAACGTTCAATAAACGCATTTTAGACGGCCAGGGCAATGGTGAGCGTTCTATCCGAGACACTAGGTGCACCTTGTGTATCTGGACGAAAATGAGGTTGTTCGGTATCGTCAACAAAAAAAAAAGGAAAGAAGAGTAGATGACGGTGCGCGCTTTTCCTGGCATTCAGTCTTTGCACGCGTGGTGGCGGTGGAAGTCATCAACAGAAAGAACCTGTGACATATATATATATATATAGTACGGACACTCAGATCTGGTTAGAGGAAAGTTTATTAAATGAGTACAGCAAGGAAAGTCTTAGCGTAAAGTTTTGAATTTGATTCCCCAAAGACTACTCATCTTTAATGCAGGCACATATTATTTATCGCAGTTTTCTTCGCGGGGCATTTAACCTACTGTTTTACTTGGTAATTGCTTATAATTTTTATTTGATCATCATACGAGAATCTCGAAACGTTACCGTCGCGCAGGATAAAATATCTCGGCTTGCCACGGTCCATTCGTACAGCGAGTGTATAGAAGCTGCCACAGTTCGGCGCGGTGGCACCCTTCACATACAATGGTTTGTCCCCGGAAATACATAGCCAACCTTAAAAATTTTAGTATTCTATCTTTATTTTTTGTGAGTGAAAGTAAGGTTATTTCTTTTATTTTAAGTATAAAATATACCGGAACGTAAAACTTCACACTGCATCTCTTTTCTCGAATCACTAGTCTCTAATATATCTCTTTCTACGCTGTATATAAAATACTGTACATAGTTTTTCCTCGCATTTACTGTGTGACCGATTGCTCTAATTCTCAATGACCTCATCTGAATAAAAATATATGAAATATGTGCATTCGTTTCCTGAAACTGGAACTCAGAGTCACTTCTCGTATAGGGCACTGCTAAGTGTAGGCTTTGAAAAAGAACCCTACTTTGAAAAGTTATGTCTCCTTTGTCAATAAAATAATGCAACATGTATTTAATAGAAATGAATGCCAAAATAGCGTAAAACAAAGTACCCAAATTTAAAAAAATCGAAGGTGGTGTTTTATTTTTATTCGAATGGGATTTTTGTTGTTTTATTGTTTCCTCGTGTTTGCCCAAATATATCACGATTGTCGTATCACTCAGATTGCTAATATATTTTTTTACATAATATTCATATGTAAGTAGAATACTATCGGAAAAGTATATGATTATATTTAAATTATTTCATGAGATACGGGCCTCCAAATTTAGCCATTCGTCGTTCAAGCTGGCATGTTTGGCAATTTTTGGAAAAACGAGCATAATTTAAATCATAATTATTACTATATATTACAAGCAAGCTGTATTCATAGTTTGTTTCTAAGAAGTGTTAGAATTTTCCTAATTTTATCGTTTTAGTTATTCAATTTAAAATGTGCCCTCTCCGCCAGTGCGCGTTAATGCAACTGTCCACCTCTTCATGCCTTACAAATTTTCCTGTCCCCATTTTTTCCTGGTCAAAACTAAGTGTGGATTTGTTTATACCAGACACTAGACAATGACATATAAAACCATCAGTTGATTTAAAAAATGTCGACCAGCCACCCCTTGGTCGATCTTATCTGAAATAACCCAGCTGCGTTATTTCAGGCTCTAAAAAACAAAAAGACAGAATTTCTAAATGGACATAGTAAAAAAAAAAAAAAATGGGTAAGAGAAACACCTTGCTCCTACCGTTTTTCTTTCCCCCTGCATCACTAGTGCCCTTCCCTAATGTAACCATCGCCCGCAAACCCCGTCCCCTGGGACATTCCAGTGAAAGCGATGCTGAACAACGGAAACGTCGATATTTCCTTCTCTCCACTCCCGTTTTTGTTATTTATTTAGCTACCCTTTTCTCGCACTAATTAGTTTGACGAGAGACAACACCGAGACGTGAGAAGTAACTTTAATGCTTAATCTGTTCGTCCCTTCTTTTTACGACACGTGGGGAAGAAGACAGGGACGACCCAACATTTAGGGAAATGCGAGACAACGGCTGTTAACGTCGCTTTCATCTCGGTAAAGTTTGGGGAGTTCAGTCATCATGGAGACACCGACAGCTTGAAGAACACGTAGCCTGGTCAGGCGGAATACGCAAATGTCGTGTTATTGTATGGAGATTACGAGTTAGACTCACGAATTACCTTTAGATTGTAATCAAATTAAAACACTAAGCTGGCGTTGTTTAAGGTTTATGGATATAAGGTTCAATTAGGTTGAGTGTTCCTGCCTCAAACCGTTAACTTTTAACGGTACTCGACCGCTTTTTGCTATAACCTGCATCTTCGTATCTTAATTTTCGTTATTGTGGTTACGTGCTGATAGCATTAGACATTACAACGAGCTTAAGATGTTTATCTTTGACAATTGCTCCTGCCACGCATGAGTTAGTGCAGCCGAGCTTTCTCCTTCGGCAAAATGTTCACGCTTGTGGAATTCGCTGCGGTAACCTTGAACGGGAAACAGAGTATATAAAGCAGAACAGTGAGAAACTCTCGACTGTTTTCTTCTTGTCTTCTCGGCGAACCAACCCAATCTCTCCAACAATAGGCAAAGCACGTTCTACTCTTTCCAGATGGTCTGGACGTTCAATATATGGTAAATCCAGGTTTTAGATAGGAGGCGCACATCGGTCATCTTGCGAAAAGTGATTTTTTTTCTTCTTTTCTTTTTTGAGGTATTGACCGTCGCGGCGGTGCAGAATTTTTTTAGGTAACCGGTGTTATTTGCAGCGTTCGTGCGTTGCTCTTTTTTCCAAGGCGACGAACAAGCGCATGCTGGACTATGGAGACTGCACGTCGGGCTTTGAATGTATAAACGCTTGAACGGTGCATAGCAGCAGGATAAACTAAAAAACGCCACGTTCTTAGTGCAAAATGTTTAACGCCACGCCTGCAGATTGTCGTTTTCGTGCTTAACTTTTTTTGTTTGGTAAAATACGGAGCACATAGCATCACGACATTAAATACTGGGCTCTGTTTCCGACATTCAATTTCATTCCACGTGCACTTTCATAAAAAAAAAAATAACACGATTCCAACTTCTGAGCAGCTGAAAAAGTTTTCTTTTCCGATGTGCCAAAGGCACATTTCGAAACACACGCTCGCCTTATATTTTCTCTCAGCTTGACAAACGGCGGGTGTGGCCTTTGCGGAGCGCAAATACGTCTGCTTCCTTTGTAGGAATTGTGGTGACGTCACAACACTGAGCTCTGATTGGCTAGATTTGAAGGACAGTGGCTAGACCTCGCGGTAGCTTGCTATGAGGTTACCCATTATCCTTCCAATCTGAGCCAATCAGAGCTCAGTGTTCTGACGTCACCACAACCCCTGCAAAAGAAGCAGACGAACTTGCGGTCCATATTAATTTCAGGCTTCTATCTTCCTGATTAATTCTTGGACTTTTTTTTTATCGGATAATGCCGCAATATGATTCATTGCTGAACGATAATCAAGTCAAGTCAAGTCAAGTCACAATGTGTTTTTTTTTTTTTGTACACAAGATGTTAGATAATTACACTTATTCAGACGGGGGTCCCAAAGTTTTCAAAAGAAAACTGTTGAAGGGACCCCTTGGTAATAAAGGGTTAGTCAGCGATCAGATGGCCAGAACTCGCCACGATTTGCTTTTCTCGAGATGTCACTGACTGTTCGCAACTCCAACACCCCACAGACGGTGGGGAAGGTAGTCCTAATATGGCGAAAGGCACGAGGATAAAGACCATAAGATTTAACGTGCACCTGCTCGCTGATGCTGGTCAGTGCGCTAATAATAATTTATTTGGCTACAAATAAATTATTCTTAGCCGATGTAAACGTGATAGTGAACACCCGAAGACACTGCACTCTCTGATGACGCACTTTTAGCGCCGTTTCATTGGCTCACTCGAATAATGGCGTCGGCTGTGGTCTAGGTGATAGTGAACCTCCGAAGACAGCGCGCTCCCTGACGATGCACTTTTCGCGAAAGGCACTTATTAGTACCTTTCGTTTTTGGTACCTTTCATGTCGCCGACGTGTTTTCGTAGTTTTCGTGTCACCGACCTGTTTTCGCTCAAGGATTTTGAAGGTCAACTGAACGATGAGACATGTCAGGCTTTCGCCTTAATACCTAAAAAGAAACAAAACAATATCGCACACCTTTTACGCTCCGGCGACTTGGTGGACGGACCGAACAGGCTGATCACCGATCCCTGTTTGCTCCGCACTCCTTCTTCTAGGGTCCCGGACGCGCCGGCCGCGCCACCCCCGCCCTGTGTCGCGGCGTAGGAGCGCTGCAGGTTGGCGATGTTCTGCTCGATGTCCAGCAGGGCCTGGCGGTCGTCGTCGAAGCTGCTCACGTTGCTGGGCAGACCCGGAGCGTGCCAGGCGCCCACGGAGCCATCCGGAGCCGTGTAGCTCACCTCGAAACGCAGCAGGGCCTTGGGGGAAAAGAAAAAGATTCATCGGCGTTTAAACGTGCAAGCCCTCCTAGAAGCCTTAAGTCGCAGTCACACCGCTAAGACATCATACAAAAGTCAATATGCAGACACCGTGTGAGTCGTCGTTTTGCTTCCTTTTACGGTGGTCTTGTTACACGGGTCGTAAAGAGGTCGTACACATTTAAAAAATAAATTCATGCTATCAGGTTTGCCGCTCTTACAATCCTGTAAATATAAGCTTATTCGGAGCAGACGCAGTGATCAGCGCATTCAAATATTGAGCCCATTTAATACCCCCCCCCCCCCCCCGCACTTCGGTCACACTGGTGCAGTGTTGCCAACCTCCGCGCTCGTTTTCCCCCTGATTTTTATCGGGAAACTCCCTAGATGTCCCTACATATTCAAAAAATGTGTTAATTTGAGTCAATATTGAGGTTTTCGTTATGTGGTCGCTTAAGAATCGATACCTGTGGTTGGGTGGCCATTTAAAGGTTAAAGTTGCCTCGTTCAAACCGTTTTACATAATTTAATTTTGTAAATTTGGCCTTGTGTCCCCCCAAAAACGCTATTATTACCCCTGAAGATTGTCTCTCGCCCTGACATTATACAAAGAAGCAATTTTACCGCTGCACTCGGCCGGCACGAGGAGGAAAAAAGGGAAGAAACGTGGCTCTAAATCCTCTGACACCCATTAAAAAGCAATCCCTAGATTTGAACAAATTTACCTTTGCCCCAAAACGATGACGAATATCCCTAGATCTAGGAGAAAGTTCTTAAGGTTGGCAGCACTGCACTGGTGGCAGTAAGCTGGCGTACAGTAACAAGCATTCCAAGCCAATGCAAAGCGCGAAATAGTCTGCTTTTTGCCCATGGGTTGCAATGATGTCAGAACGGCGAATTCTGATTGGCTGATTGAAAACATAGGGGATAGAGTTCAAGGCACCTAGGATTATGGTCTATTCACTATCCATTCAATCAAAGATGATCAGACCTCGGTGTTGTCTTGACGTCACTGCGACTCCTGCGCAGGAAGCAGACGACTTACTTTCCGCATATCGTTGCACGGTCCGTTTATAAAATGTAGTTACGGCAGCTCTCGTGCCTTTCTAAAAAAAAGGTTGGTTAAAAAATATATATAATGTTGTTTTTTGTTTTTGTACTGGCCGTTTTATGGGCTTAGTTCTAATGTTCTTTCCTCAAAGGTAGTTTTTAAAAAATAGGTAGCAGGTTTCTTGGATGGAGCAACGCATTGCTTAACGCCAGAAGACCCACGATGTAATCCGAGCGCCCATTCATACACCCTGACACGTTCCATTTCCACGACATTGACGATTAAGACCAAGACTCCTAGCTGGCTTCCTAAAAAGATAGTTTAAATGGCGAAAAAAATAGGCCATTGACGCAATCCGTGATACTTTCTGAAACTGATGGCAAGATTCGTGCTACAGTGTGAAGGGCAGCTGCCAGAAGCTCCCTGTGGGTGCCATTGAGGAAGTCAATTCCAGAAAACAGCCACGGTGGAAATACCAAGAAGGAAGCTTTCGAACTTTCTTACAGACATAACATTTTATTGATAGAGGTCTAGCTCGACGTCAGGTCGAGTAATATTAAAACATCACAGTAGTTTTATGATTACTCGACCTGTATGAATACTACTCAACCTAGTACCATTAACACATAGTCGTAGCAATATATTTTTTTCAGTTATTGCTATTTAAAAATGCATGATACAAATAAATTTTAAAAAATTACCTACTTCAAATATGATTATTTAATTTACTTGAATATTATCACAACTTCTGGAGCAATCATTATTGGCGTATCGTGCGCACAGAGGTGGCCAGAACTAATTTATTCTTCCACTTTTTGTATTATAACGACTCCTACATATTTTTTGCGTACTATGGCCATTTTAAATATTGAGAAACAAATACATCTAATCGGTTTGCACATGCCAGTATCATTCCTAACAAGGCAGCCTGGTTGAAGCTGACCTTGAAAATTGGTAAGCTGACATTTCCCTGTTCTGCAGATACCAAAGAGATACACGGTCTCCAACATATATTATTGGAAAAAAATATCCAATACGCAAACTGATATACAAAGTTAAAAATAAACAATAGGCAAAATATTCAATACACTACAATGCACAATACACAATAAACAAATATATAAATTATACAATCAACAAAATATAACATAAAATTTAAAGATATAGAAAATATAGTTTAAAAAAATATACGAAACCCAATATATACAAAATATTTATTTCTTTTTTTTGGCAAAATGCACTTGATAATATTTTAAAAAAAAGCGTTCAAATAACGCAGGTAGTTACCCCTGCCACTGGCATGTTGTTCTCGTCTACGATGGAATCGCAGATGGCCAAATGTCCATCTTCGACGAGCTGCTGCAAAACCAGGCCGTAGACGCCGAGGACCCTAAAGCCAAAAACCCAGACACATCTTCGTCACATACCCGTGTTTATTTCCAACCGACACCATGGTGTCTTTGAGACTACAAATGCTGCAGAAGTCCACACAATATAGAAGATTGATGTCTCAGGTACCATGTCATCTCAAGTAGCGTTGAAGATGAATCGAGAGTTTGTAATTTTTCCGCGTTCTATTAGCGGGACGTCGCTTTTTGATCTACGAGGTGTGATCAAAAAGTACCTGAACTGATTCTGTAGCGTAAAAAGAGAAGGCAGTACAATGATGCGGGCGCAGCATCGAAGGAAGTCACCCTTCGTGTCTCATTATACCAAAGGGCGTCACTCTGTGAAAATTTATTTGGAGTTCCGCTACACGAGTTTCTGTGACACCATGCAAGGGTACAACGGCGATATCACTAAAGACTGCAAACTAGAGCGACAGCGAACATCAATTCTCCGTCAAACTCGGCTAATATAAAAAAAAGCTTGGAAATGGTTCAGCTGGCTTGTGCCAAAAAACAGTAAATTTTACGAAGTGTTTTAAGCGAACGGCAGAACATCACTGGAACACGAAGAGCGGTAGGGCGACATTGTCCGACCTCTCCTTGACTTCCGTGGCGTTCTGTCATTCTTGAGGCGCCAGTGGTATTCAAAATACCTCGCAGACCTCACTACTTTTTAGCATAAGCCTTCTAAATTATTTCATAGGTCTCTGTTTTAGATTTGCCGACGTTGACGTAAAACTGATGTTTGGTCAAGCTTTCGTTTGCAGCCCATGAAGAGATCGCCATTTTGCTCGTAAATGTGGTCAAACAAACTCGTGTAGCGCAGTTCCAAATGTTCACAATGCGACGCCCTTTGGCATCATGACGCAGGAAGGTCACAATCAACTCCTGCGCGCGCATCACTGTGCTGCTTTTTTATGCAACGAAACCAGTCCCAGAAACTCTTTGATCACACCTCGTATAAATCCCTGAAAGCATACCTCCCCGTGCTGCTAGCAAAACGCCAATCACTCGTTTGTTTTCTTAGTTTCTTCAGCCTCTAAAAAAATCATTGAGTAGCGTGCTTCACGGCTATGCAGGCTCGGTGGCTGAAACAGTGGACGCAATTCGGTCCCTGAGATGAAAGGACTATCAGGGAGCAATGCACTTCACTGTTCTCAATGGCCAAGCTGATTAAAGGCAGACGAATAATAGGACGAATAGCGGGAGAGTATACGCTAATGCCGCAAACTCATAGGCTCTGTAGCGATAACGAGATGGTTTAGCCTCCCTACGCCCCGCCTTTCTCGATCTGCCATTGGCTAAGGAAGTTGCTAAGGTATGGACCGGATAGACTCTGCGCTTTCCACAGTCCGCGTATCGTGTGCACCAATTGCCGATTGCCTCACCCACCTGTTTGTGAAATACTTGTTGTGTTGAAGGACTTGCACCTCGAGCACTTCCTGGTTCTCGACGGGTCGCCCCACTGGCCACTCGAACACCTGTGTCGACAAACAGATGAAGGCATAGTATTTAACCCAAGTCGCGTCTATGACGTCATGCCAAGGAAGTTCCGCTGGCTCCGCACGTGAGCATTCGCAGACGTTAAGTCGAGACGCAGCCGATCGGACGCTACGACCTGGTGTGACCAATCAGACAGCATCAAAAGCGCATCATAAAGGTGTTCGTGCTGTTTCTCGACGTGTTCTATTATCGTCAAACTAATCATAAACAAAAAAAAAGCTTAGTGGCTCTAGCTTTTTGACGGTGCTTGATTTGAGCCGTTAGCTCCCGGCGCCGGCTGCGTCTCGACTCAAGCTAAAACGAAGTATATAACTAAATAAATTGCTGGCATCTGAACAATGTTTACAACTCCAGTGAGCAAAGGCGCTTGATTCTAAACAATGAATTACTGTATGAAATACAAGTCAAAGCCAAAGGAACTTTGCCAATATTCATAAAGCGTTAGGTCGGCATCTTGCGGTATAGGTGCAGCTCGACAGCTAACGTGGGATTTATAACGTGCATCATGCAGTAGTAAAGTGCGCTGAACCGCAGCCAACCGCTTCAGATACACTGCTGTTCTAAAAAATATCAGCAGGTTTTTGGGGCTTTTAGCCAGCGCAAATCTTAAGACTATCTTGTAATATGTGTCAGTCTTTGTGTCTCCACTTCAGAAGGGGCCCAGGTCACGGGTTTCGCATGTTACTCATAAATTAGTTTTTCTTACGTAAATCATAGAGTTCACTCTGCGTCAAAAACATGTACGGTGCAGACGAAGGCACAGGAAGGTGAGCCTAGCTAAGCAGAATGCCTCTGTTTGTAGGAGAACACCTCCGTAAAAGTCACTTTCGAAGGCGCTGCACCCGTGCCTTTGCCAGCACTGCGGATGTTTGCGAGATAGAGCTAGACGTGGAGTGCCTCAATTTTTTTAAAATCCTGCCTTTTTTTTTTTCTTTTCTTTTTTTTTTTTTTTTGGGGGGGGGGGGGGAGGCGTACCCGGCACAGTCAGCACGCGAACAAAGAAAAAATTTACAAAAGATACACCTGACCAAAATTTGCACTATCACATAGTAGCCCAAAGCTAAGAGCTCGAAATGTCCCATATGCCCTTTCACTCACCCCAAAATAAAAAAAAAAAATAATCTTCGGGAAAAAAAATTAAAAAAACGAAGCAGCGTGCCACAAAATGTTTTGAAGTTACCACTCTATGGGAATGATCCACATAGTGAAACACCCTAGTTAAACATTCTTCCGAGCAGCAGCCAACTCCTGCGACGTGCTCGGCGTCTCGCGAAACTGACAAGTTGTCGCTCTTAGAATGTGCGGGAAGTTTGATCAATCTCTGTCTGTCTGCATTAGGATCAAAACTGTCCTTTTTAGTAACGTCAATTATCCGCTCATTTTCCTGCTTGCACTTCGTACGTTACACTTTCGTTTTTCTTTTTTTTTTCTTTTTTTTAAATTAAGAACGACATTTTGACGTGTTGCAACTCCGACGATCTCAACGGTGAACCGGCGGAGCATCTCAACTGTCAACGCAGACTAACATTAGAATAGAAAATATAATGTTGGAGAAATAAAAAAACAGACCTCGGAAACGATTGACGAAACTTTCATACGGCACCTAAACTCATTTCATGCAAATAACACACAGCTACCCTTCCAAGAGACATTCATTCGAAAGGTACAGAAGCATTCACATCACGCGCGCGAAAAGAAAAAAACAAATGAGGAACCCATCTGCATGTACAATTCAGGCAGGGTGCATACGAGATCCGGAAATGTGTGGCAGAAGGGATAACAGAAACCTTTCTTCGTGGACCGCTCTCTTTATTGCACTCAGATCTCCGGCTTCTGTTCCGGCGGCGGTGCAAATACAGCTACCGGTCCACATTTCCCGTCTATTCGGCGGATTATGGGTTTTCGGGAAAGGGACTCCTATCATCCACGTTTTGAAACCTCGTGATGTTTTTTGTTTTTTTTATTTGTTGTTGTTTTGCGTTGTTTTTGGCGGTGCACTATCGGTCTGCTGGTTTCAAGGAGGTTAGAAGTACTAGGAGAGGGCACGTTGCAATATTGGTGAAGCCTAGTCATAAAAAGTTTAAACGATTTTGTGCCCAGCGTGACCGCAGATCTGTCTGGTGATTGGTGCGCGTGACATGTCACGTGTGAGATGGATGGTTGTTTGTAGAAGGACCCCTTCCAGGCTGGCGCGCGCTCCGTCCGGTAGGTTTTATCAGATCGAAGGCTAGACTGTGGTGTATTCTAGTACCCCATAGCAAGACCAATGCTAGCTACAGTCACGTGATGTGGTCACGTTGGCATGGTAAGTGAGGAGAGTAAGGAGGAAAATGAGAAAGAGGCGAGGCGTCAAGGGAGCATGGCTTGCGGAGGCTACGCGGCCGACGTCATGCCCTCTCCTACCCTTCTATTCTCCATGGCTGGTTTACGGTCAGCAACCAAAGTGCATTTCGTGACCCGGCTGAAAGGTGGTGCCCCGCTGCGGCAGTTAATGGCGGACAGTGGACGCGGTTGTTTCTGTCGATGTTAGTGTTCTGTCACGTAAAGTTAAGCTCTTTGTGCTTGACTTTACCGGGGATAAGTGAAGTAATATAGGCGCTTCTAAATTATGAGTTTCCGCTTGAAAGGTAGAAGCTAGTTTTGGGCATTCGCGGTTATAGGAAACGAAGTCCGACGGGACTTCGCAAATATGTGTAAAAACATAAACTCTCCTGGAAAATAAAAAAAAAAAAAACATTACACGTTACTCAAAACAAATGAACGCAGAGAATAGCACCACGACACATATTTCGTGTCGTCCTCTCTGTAGCTGCGTTTATTCTTTCAGTCACTTCATTTCCACCAACGTTCTCACTTTTAAACTTTTTAAAAGGAATTCCTTGTAAAAATTTATCTCAAATAGCGTCTAAATTTTGAAAATGAAAACTTTTAATTCTGTTACTAAAAAATTCTTTTCCTTTTTTTTTTTTTGTACAATGCGAGAATCGGTGTTTGCTTTCTTTACCCGACTCCATTTGGGTTAAGGAATGGTAATATATGTTTACCTGCAAGAAAAAGCTTGAAGGCGTAACAACAGAAAAGCACTCACGTCATCAAAGACCGCATCATCATCCAGGCCCTCGCACACCTTCGTATGATGAGAAACACCTGAAAGGAACAAAGTGAAAAAAAAATTAGAAGAAAAAAATATATTTTTCGTTGAAACAGCCTAAGGACTAAAACACACTGACTCACGCGGAAAAATAAACCATAAAATAAAAAAAAAATTATTAATACAAAGGGCGAAGGTAAACAAAAAGTAATGCCCGTATATTTCACATTTGCATTTATACTCGAAATGCGTTTTCCGGGCAATGCAGGAAGCCCCGGGACTGCAGTTGCGTGCCTCTTTTTGAAGGGTAGATGGAAAGCGAAATGTTTGCACGGTTTCGGGCGCACCTCCACGCTCGTATTAAAGTGCGCTCCTTTCACTCCTTTTCTTTCTTTATTTTTTTACATAGCTTGCGTCGAAAACACCAACAGGGGCACGCAGGGCAAATACACCGTCGGGAGACAAAAACGCGCAAGTAAACAGGTACAGTCCCTTTGAGGAAGGCATCAGTAGGACACTAGTATGAAGTTATACGAAGCAGGTGCAAACTCACGAGAACATGCAAACGCTGGCTACGCCTTCGAGGCGAGCTTTCTACCCTTGCTAACGCTAGTGTGAACGCGCAGGGACGCGCAAAAATAGCGCTGCGGAAGCCAGCGACCTCGCGCTGAAAGCGGAGCTGTTAGTGTCAGCGTGAGATGAACGGAGTATACACCTTTTGCACAAGGGCGCAGCCATCTTGAACAACGTCACTCATGGTATGCGGGAAAACATAATTTTTGAACTCTCCTCGCCGCTGGAAGGTTTTCACAAAGAAATGTGTGATTGTCGCACATTGATTATAATGCAATTAAACGCAAAGCGCAAGCGAGCTGGACAAGAATGACGAAAATAATCCCTGGAGAAGGGTGTTAAGAATGGAACCTTCGGCGACCTTCTTCCGAGTTTCAACGCTGCGGAAACGAGTCAAGACGAGTCCAGGACCGTCGCCCGCTTGTCGGGGCCTGCGCGAAACGAGTCCCGACGAGTCCGGGACCGTCGCCTGCGTGACGGGGCCTGCGGCAACAAGTCTCAACGCACCCGTGACGTCAGCGGGACGTGTGTGTGTGCGTGGTGGTTGGTGCGCTCGGGAAAGGGAGAGAGGCATGGCCTAACTGCGGAGAACTTTGGCTACGTCGCACTGGACGGCGGACTTTGCTGCATCGCACTTGACGCCGGGTTGCTGCATCGCACTGGCTGCCCTGGCGGGGAGTGAGGAAGAAACGGACCCTATATAAGGCGGAGCGCGAGGCTGCTCCGTTGTTCTCTCGGATTTGACGACTGTATCGCTACCATGTAATTAAACCGTTCGTTACGTTACCAAGTCTCCCACCTCCACTGAACCCCTGGGTCCTTCACTTCGGGGAATGGACGTCGTCTCGAGCCAGGAAGCTTCCGGACGTGCGGCCTAAACCCCGCCTCGAACAACGGGAACAAGAGGGACAAAGTACAAACATAAATTTCCAAACATGGTATGCTTTATAAACATCGTTTTTGACCTCTTAACCTTAAATTGATAACCTTAAATTACAAGCTTCACCCTTGTTGGTGTTAGGCTGGTCGCGGCTGATAAAACCCGTTTGCTCTACTGACGTCTAATACCTGATTATCTCAGTTGGGAGGCACTCACTTGATCAAATGACGTTTTAGCGAACGCCCACGTTTCATCGAACGACACTTTAGCGAATAGTCGGACGCCGCGAAGCGGCGTTTTCGGGTGGGCCAAGTGAGTTCATATTTTTGTAATGAGTTGCCGCAGACTGTCGCCGCGAAGCGGCGTAAAGCGCAGCGCGACGGATGGGTTAACGCGCGCCCCCGTTATTCGCTAAAACGACCATTCGCTCAAATGTCGCCGTTCGCTAAAATGTCATTCGCTCTTGTGATATGGACCCATCTCAGTTGGTAGAGTGCTCCACATAAAATGGAGAGGTCCCGGGTTCGATACCCGGACCACGCGGATTTGTTCTGTCGCTCACCAGTCACCTAGCTGTGTTTGGAGCTTGGTGTTCGTCCTTTGTCCCTCTTGTCCCCCTTCTCCAGGGATTATTTTCGTCATTTTTTGTCACACATTGTTTTTTGCCTCACCTCTATTTTCTCGCATATTCCAGGTTAAAATGTTTTACTTTTTTTTTTTCGTTCCGCATACCAGATACGGAACCCACTCGACTGAGAACGACAAGAAACAGAAATGTCTATAGGCTCGTTGTCATCTTTTTTGTAGCATTTCAAAAGTTAATAAGTGAGTGTGGAGAGCTATGATCGGCACCCAAGGTTCTCGGGCGCCCGTGAGCTCATAGCTGTGACAGCATAGTCATAGCTTTGTTTATTAAAGGAAAACTATCAAGTCGCAAAAGAACGTCGCCTCTACAAATGGCAAAGGAGATCAGAGAAGAGGGCGCGCGCAGAAGCTCTTCTGGCTGCGCCAAACACAGCGGTAAAATCCGAAAACGCAAACGCGCACCTTTTTTTTTCTTCCTTTTTTTCAGGAAGGGAAATTATTTTGCCTGTTTCTTCACGCGTCGGTAGCCTCCTTTCTATTTTTCTCCGCTGCGGTTTGTTGTTGTTTCGTGGAGACGCCACCGCGCGTATTGTTGGCGCTAGCTGAAGGGTTGCCCCAGAAGTGGCTCTGCGCTACCATATGGGTAACCGTTCGGCGCTGCTTCTCGCCTTTTTCCGGCGGCCGCACACTCAGTGGCTCCGTAGTGGAATTTGACAGGCTTTCTAAAATAAAGGAGGCTATGGCGTAGTCTACCACCTACTGCCTAATGTTCGTCAAAAGCGCCATGCTAACTGTCCTACAGCAATGCTCACATTTTGTGCTTATAGCAGATAACCTGGGCGCAATTTGAGGAGGGACTAACTTTCCAGTGTCCTCACGATCATACAACCAACAACTTCGAAGCAAAACCTCGTCACATATGAGGTAGGGAGGCACTCACTTGATCGAATGACGTTTTAGCGAACGCCCACGTTTCATCGAATGACACTTTAGCGAATAGTCGGACGCCGCGAAGCGGCGTTTTCGGGTGGGCCAAGTGAGTTCATATTTTTGTAATGAGTTGCCGCAGACTGTCGCCGCGAAGCGGCGTAAAGCGCAGCGCGACGGATGGGTTAACGCGCGCCCCCGTTATTCGCTAAAACGACCATTCGCTCAAATGTCGCCGTTCGCTAAAATGTCATTCGCTCTTGTGATATGGACCCTATGAGGTATTAGTAACGTGGGCGACGAAAAAGCGACGCTGTTATCGGCATTCGCGACTGACCAAACCATAGCTTCCTGTCCACTGATAATGCCTGCCCAATCGCCGGTTCCCGGCGAGGCAAATCCTGCCAGTCACGGCGAGGCAGAGGCAAATCCTGCCAATCACAGCGAGGGAAATCCTAATCGTGACGTCACGAACGAAAACCACAAATGAGCGCTACCGAAACATCCCGCCGGCTAATGTTTCGTCGAATAAAATATAAAGAAAGACACAAAAGCGGACTAAAAAATGTTCACGTTACCTGCAGGGGCTTACGCAACGTTACAGACACGTTCAATGAACCGAACGAAGTTGAGGTCCCAGAGCCTCCCTTCTTTCGTCGCGTCATCGATTCATTTCAAACCTGCGGCGTCACTCATTTGCTTAACTTTTTTCACGGACGATTGCGCCACAACAAATCTCATTATAGTTGTGCCAACAGCAGCGGGTGCTCAGCTAACGCGTCCTTCAAGCATGGTATTGACAGGAAATGATTGGAATATGCGTGGGAGAACCACCGTCCCGCGCATTACTTTGCCGCCGAACGTTCTCGTGAAGCGGATTTCGGAAAGATCCGCCGGGGGCCACGCAGTTGCTAAATCATCGAAGTACCGGGCAGCAAGCCGGAATCTTAGTTTCCTACTCTAGAGCGTGCTGACTTGTGCAGTAATACATTTTAGAGCGCAAGTACTATAAAGCAAATGACACTATCTACGGGTCAGAAGCACTTACACGTTACTCTGCTTTACATTCGAAAGCTTTTTTTTTTTTTTTTGCGCCATGACGATTTTATGCTGAATTGGCCTAGCCGGTGATTGCAAATGCCGAAAATTGACAACCGCCATGACGACCCACTTTTGGCTCGGCCTGATAGCTTGAATTAGATCGTGGCCTTGGATAGGCTGTTCGACATATTGTTGAAACAGAGTTTAGATCAGTTGTAAGAGAGAAGGCCTGCACTCGCATTTATATGCTTCTTTGTGGAAAGAAGCGTGTAAATGATTCTTTACAGTATAAATGCTTTTTTACAGTGGTAAAAAAGATGTTTGTACTTTCCCTTAATATCACAGAAAATGAATCCCTGGCGTTTGGAATCTATGAAACACGCGTTAGTCTTTTTCTCCCCTTCTAATGGTAGTCGTGGAAAATATTAAAGAAAAACGAACCGCGTTTTTTTTTTGTTTTTTTTTTCTTAACTCGTAGCTAGAACAAACGGCCACGTGATCTGGAACTAATTATATGCCGCGAATGTTCATTATAGCCACGCGTTGGGCTTGGCAAAGCGGAGGACAGGCGCTGAGTTCCAGACATTGCTATGCTCCGTTCTCTCATAAGCTGAGTCTAGAAGCCTGACCCTTCAGCGCGAGCTTTCTGCCCTTGCTAACACAAGTGTGAACGCGCAAGCACGCGTAACCAAAGCACTGCGGAAGCCAGCGAGGTCGCTCTGAAGACGGAGCTTCTAGTCTCAGCTTAAGGATGAACGGAGTATAAGGTCAGGCTATTGTCTTCGTTGCAGTGATTGGACACTATCGACTACCCAAATGCTTGTCCAGCTTGCTTTTTTTTTTACAGAAAAAACTCGCTCCGCTGCAGCTCCGGAATTATATCAGGTACAACCAATATGTAAGAAAACGCTAAAGAGTTAAAGCAAAGGAACACTTGAATATACAGCGGAGGCTGTCAATAAAAAGAAATACACAAACGTTGAGCATAAATTACATTGAAAATCAAGGTCACTTCCTGGGATAAGTGGCTCCATGTTGTCATGAGCAATA